GGCCCCAGTGGCTGAATGGTAAACGAGCTTGCCTTGTAACCGGAAGATCCTGGGTTCGAATCCCAGTGGGTGCGTACTGCCGATGATTCCCGAACTAGGATGAAACAGCAGCTGTCCAGTACTCCCTGGTTTTCAATGATTCTCTAACTGATATCAGTCCGTGATCAACTCGTAAAAACATAACTAATCCTTACAAACCAAACTATAGAAAATTTCGTCTTTAATTAATTATATATTGTGCAAGCAATATGCACAGCTTTTTCTCTCCCATTATTTTTACTAAAATAAGCATTATATATTGAACGGATGAGGATGTCAAAGTCAGAATGGGAAAGGCAAGATAAGCCTTCAGTTTAGAAATCTTCTGCACTCAGTTTAAGGGACAAAATTCAAATTTTCAACACCAATGTCAAGTCGGTCCTTCTATACGGGTCAAAACTTGGCGTGTAACGTAAAGTATCTCCAACAGGTTGCCGACTTTCATCAACAGCTGCCTTCGCTGGCTCCATCCTGAAGATGAAATGGCCAGCCAGAAAGAATTAGAAACAAGAAACTCTGGGAAAAAACCAACCAAGAGCCAATCGCTCAACAATTATGTAGGAGAAAATTGAGATGGATCGGGCATATATTGAGGAGGTCGTCGAATGACATCGCGCGCCAGACTAATGATCGAGTAGCATCCCAGTTGGAAACAACGGGTGGGTCGTCAGTGTGGGGGTGATATGGAGGAAACCGTGTGAGGAGGAGATGGGAGATTGTGGGCAACCGTCGTACAAGCTGAAGATGATGACAGAAAATAGAAGAAAGTGTAGATATGTTGTCGAAGCCCTATGTTCCACTCGCAATCGAAGGGAACATTAATAAATATTTAACCTACTTGTAAATTCTTTGCAAACATGTAACAGTTGCACTAATTTTCTTAGCTAACTAGAATATGTATAGTAAGTGAATACAAAGATGTATTGGTTTATGTTGTTTCACTAATGAATTGATTAATAGACAGACAAGTAAATATTTCAGTTGTAAGTAATCTATAACGTTTGTCTGGTGTCGAGTGCATCAGATCGACTGACTGGAATTCCAGTGAATGAGCGATAGTGGTATTCACCTTGAAACTATAACTTAGAATTTCAGATGTTAAAAATTGATCTGAACAACTAAGCCTTTGATAACCACCAATTATATAAAAAATGAGTAAATTTTTATGTAGTTATATTTATAATTTCCTGTTGAGGGGGTCAATGCTTATTATTGCTAATAGGTCACCGATAAATTTGTGTACCTCAAGAATTACACTACTAGCAACCAATAACATGACAATACACACCAGCTTCTTTATTAACTTAGTTCACTCGTATTAATTTTGTGGATACTATCATCCATCGCTATTTTTCTCTAAATTATAATTGATGATTGAACCAGTGTAATTTGTCTAGTCCTTTTTTTCGTGCAGACTGAATTCTATCAGTCAAGTTTGCAGTGTGGCCACCATGCTAGGTGGCTCGCTAACACGGTGCACTGTTTGTATTAGATGGTTGGAGGCGATCGGCAGGAAGCCTTAGACCTAAATTTCGTGCTATTCAGCACTCATCAACAAGTTGTGTCTGCAATCTCGAAGGAACTCATGTCCCTTCTGAGATTCGAAATCGCATCATCCAGTGCTGCAATCAGACACGTTACCACTGAACTATCTATCCACAGAATTACAGAGGGGAAAACTCCTGGGTTAGCATTGAAACGTCACCCACAAAAATATCATTTTACGAAGTATAGAGAGTTCAGCGTTTTTAAAAATAAACATGACTGCAAATAATAACCAGTGAAAAGTGAACAGTCAACGAAACAATATTATACTGCCTTGATACACTTAAAGTTGGAAAAGATGAGCCATAGTATTCTAGTTTCACGAGGAAAAACTGATTTACATGCAGTGGTTAGTTCCCATGATTGTAAAAAGCATTGAAGTTGAAATTAAATCAGAAGATAAATACCTTGTATTGACTTTCCTCTGAACTTTCGTGGTCTTCCCACATCATGTGAATTTCTAAAAGACATTTCTTCTAACCCACTACTTAAGGAAGTTAAAAGAATGTCAAGTCACTTGGTCTCTATTTTACAGTTTTTTTAACTCTTGTATTCTACCTAATCTTCTTTATTTCTCCCTCAGCTTAATCTTTTCTGAACTACTTGAAAAAGATTTGCTATATTGCCAAGGGCACTAAAAGAACACTGTACTACATGCTGAAATTTCACATCGTATCAAACGCACTGTTTGAAATGAAGCCATTATTATTATATGTGGTATATTTTTTGCCCAGCAGAGTCTTCCTTACAGTCACAGATCCGTCTTAGTCACTTCACATTTTCACAACTGGATGGAACAGAAGCTATTGAGGTAGAATAGTCGCATTCAGTAATATTATTATTACGTTCAGTGTCTTAGTCCGGTCAGTCACACCAACATGCCGCCTGGTTTTCAGGAAATCAAGCTATTCTATGAATTTTTTAATAGATATATTACACTAGATTGATATTGTAGGCGTCTTAATGAACTGGTCACTTAAATCAGGAAACCTAGCATTTGATATATATATAATCAATTAGGCATGATTAGTTGCGAATTGAATTTGCTTCTTTTAATAAAGAATTTTATTTTCTTAAATAACCAAACCTTTACTCACAATAAATGTATTCACTTTGTGTATTTATAAAGACAGCGGGCTTTAAGTCATCCTTCATTCACTCATCATAGGTTGAAAATATTAGCGTCAAATATTCTGAAGTTAATAATTTGATTTATTTAAATACATTCACTATCCTATTGAATAAAATTCTTTTCAATACCATAAAATTAGTAACTGAAATATATTCTAAAGAAGGCAGGTAATCTTTATTTCCGAAGAGGGAGGTGTAAAGCATACTAAGTAATTTTATGAAGAAATTAATAATCACACTCACTCTTTTTCTGAAAATAAAAACAACTTTATAGTTTTTGTATTTTCTTATAGTGTCATAAATAATGGACATTATATACGTAAAAATATTCATTTGAATTGTTTAAATGTGTGTGGTTGATTATATTGAGGAGGAAAATTCAAGATATGTACTTCATAAAACAATATACTACTATTCGACTTTTATTTTTACGAAAATCATGTATGACATCAGATTGAAAGATTAAAACAAGTGAACAGGTTAGCAGTAGTGTATCATTCAGTATTCCTACTAACTTCAACAAATGAACAGAAAAGATCACGCCTTCATAAAATTTGCAAACTATTCATAAATGGACAACTTAGACTTCGAAAAACAAATTATATAACTACAATGTTACCGCTATAAATAAACTCGGACAAGCTGGAAGAAATAACAGGAATGAAAGTAGAGCACTGTCTGTGTATCCATCACTTCAAGCTATCACACATAAAAGGACCATACGAAAAGTGAGCAAAAATGTAATGATACAACAGTCAACTAAGGCGTGCAAGAGTAGTAATCTACGTATTCTTGATGATTATTGAAGGCAACTACGTATATATGAACGATTCTACACCACGATACTCACAGTTTCCAAGACATATCATTATTAGCATATTGTGGAATTCACCCAGTCAACTTACATCATCCTACATCGATCGGAGAAAGTCAATGAATTACTTGGTTCACGACATGTTTTTTTTTAATCTGACTACTGTCAAATCTCTTTAAACCTAGTCTTATTTTGGTTGACATCGTTCATTGGGGAAAATGATACTTAACAAGAGTAATACTTCCTTAGCTACCATTAATAGGGAAGATTCTACACTCTATTATTGCCTTAGTTAGCACTGCTTACATTCGTTTTCACCAAACACTCCTAAGAGTAAAAAGCCTGTATCTCCTCATCTCTTCTATCTTCCACAACCTTAATGTAAGACACAGAACTTCTCGCAAGTTATATACGCTTGCTGATAGGTATCGAGATATCACGGCTGCAGCCGAGATGAAGCCAGTTGGCAAATGTCAAATAGGCCTTAGGACTATGTAGTAATCAGTTCCTTATATAAGTAAGGTGACTGAGATATTCAACCATATCACACCTAACCTTTCCATAAGTACGAATCATTACAGACCAGTGTTAAAGCGTCACCTTATATTAGATGTGTGAAGAATAGAACACGTTTCTTTCGCTCATCTACATTATAGCATATGAAAACATTCAGTAGTAGCGACGCATAAAATTAATTTCGAGTAAACGTATGATTTTAGTAGTACATCTGAAATGAAGCTACACGGGTGATATATAGGAATCTGACATTAGTTGGAGGTCCCTGACGTTTTTAGTTACAAATTTGTCTGGATTTGGTCATGGAAGGAAAATTTTGTCTGAAAGGTTGCCTGTGAAATAGGACTTTCAGGTATGTGTCATATACGCTTTTACTTTATTTCAGTTTACCAGGACCAATAGTTAAATGGCTATTGAAGTAAAATTGAGTATCACAAGTATCAAATGTTCAAAAGTAAGCTGTCATCTGAGAGCATGTATTTCTTTATTATAAGAAAATGTGCAAATGAATAATCGTCATTAAACAGGCTTACGTGGGAAGCTGATACTAGTAATGTCACAATTAAACTGAAGTAGTGATAACCTCTGTGTATGCAACCAGTTACATTGATCTTGGTCATAATGACGATGATATCGACATAATAAAATCATTTAAGAAAAAGAAAAGTTACCAAAATGTGTATACAGACGAACAAAACTATAGTGTCAATATCACAGACATTGATACACCTCTGCTACACAACAAAACTATCAACTGTGATATTTCAGTATCAATTATGTGTATGATAATAATAGTGAATATTAACGATGGTTAAAGAATCACAAGTTAACAGAAACAGGCATAATAGCAGAAAAGGCAGGGAAAAAGAAACAGGTTTAAGGAAAACATAAATCAGGAAGTAGAGAAAGGCAAAAATAAATCAAGCCTCTCTCTAGTGATAAAAAACAACTATTACTACTACAAAATTATTTTTCAACATAAAACACAAACAGAAGGAGTGAGAGATATGCATGATTTTTGATCAAATTAGAGCAGTATAAGACCCAAAAAAGAAGGCACTTTTGATTGACTTGTAGTGATGACGGTGAAAGAAAATAGTGCAAAGAGGGAAAATCAAAAGATGAGCAATCCATTTGTGTGCAGGTAGACATACAAATTACAACTATAAATGATGTGTAATGTAAGATACTGATGGTGTCGACTGTTTGTCTGTGTTTATGAACAAAACGAAGAGGATAAATATTATGCCTCTACTGAAATTGACAGCTGATTCTAAGTCGAAACAGCGAAACTATTAGATAACTGAAAGTCTATGCGTGCACAGACTAAAGCAATATAATCCCGGGATTAATAAACACATTCCGTCGAACCAACACATATCTGCTTCACCTACGTTTCCCAGTCATCGTCTGATCCAACATCACCTGGTGCAGAATTCTCATCAGATTCTTCTCCACTGTCATTACTGCACATTCGATTACGTCGCATTTCCATGGCTTGAGCAAGTGACTGGAGAAGATCGAATCCGGAACCAGCGCTGCCTCCAACACCACTACTACCACCGCCTACTTGTCCTCCGCTGCCGCTAGCAGGTTTTACTGATGGTTTATTCACACCTTCACCAGGAGTAATCTGAAATACAAGGATAAGTTATATTTGATAGGAAAATTCACTCACAGAAAATAATTTTTATAGGATAGAAACGTGGTTCACTGTTTTCAGAGGCGGACTTTTAGTCTGCAGATCCTGGGTTTAATTCCCACCTCCACCTAGTTCAGACTTTATGCATAACGTGACGCTGATAGGTTGGATCATGACGAATTTTGGTCTCGACTAGTTTACTAATTCACAAACCGATCCTTAATTTGGGGTAAAGGAGGGAACGTTGAGCATGAGGCTAGAAACGCGACCCTGGGAAAAGAATCCAATCGCTACAGAAGCCTCAAAGCACAGAAATAAAGGGTGAAATTAACCAGGTAATAAAATTTGTTTATTTCACCATTCTGATACGCAAGTGCTTCTACGTACTCTGTATCCCTTATAGTTCAATTTTTACGTGGTTTATTTTAATAAGCACACGCACACCTTTGGTTTTCACAAAAAGTACTGCTCATTGACACTGAAGTTGTTTAGCTTAACAATGAAGTGAAAATAACACCCCACTGAAGAGAGGTAGAGATTCCTAAGTCAATCACAAATGTACGCCACCCGTCTTGTTACACAGTAAACCTACAAAAACATACAACTAAGGGTATATCAAGTTGTCTAAAGACTCAAATATTCATGACTGCCTGACTAGTTTCATGGCAGAACTTTGCACGGATGTGCAGCAGTTCGAGTTGTCACTCTCTATGTAGCAAACAAAACAAGAGAAGAGAGTAAGGAGAGATTCAAAAGAGAGGTAATAAACGGAAGTTTGAGTGAGAGAAAAAGAATAGTAATGTGGAAGAACAATATAGTTTTATTGGATACTATAAATAACAAGGAATGGATGCATCTGAGCCATTGGCAGTGATTTTTAGCCATATCACCAATTGTCTCCAGCCATTGGTTTTTATCATCCCTAGGACCCCAACCAGACAGCAGTCTACACCTCCCGACGTGGCTTAGATTAACTGTAGTGAATTTCATTGACTGATGTAGCCATGTGTTGGTTTGACCACCACTAGCTCTTTTCCAATCTGATCCTATGTCGTTGTGGAAGGAAGGCGATGACCTAGGCAAACGTAACACATGTCCTAGCCATCTCAATCGGTGTAACTTCACAACCTCATCGACTGACTTCCCCTCCTTACCTAACACTCGACACCTAACCTCAATATTGCTCACCTTATTGTACCACTTAACACGCGAGATGGAACGCAGACACCTATGATAAAAGACAACTAGTTTATTCATGTCTTCCACTTTCAATGACCATGTCTCGCTTACAGACGCAAAGGAGGACAGAGCGAACTGCTGAGCATATTCTAAATCAACGACATTATTCCCTGGTAACAAGCCAATCCCTGAGGCTCTGAAGTCAGTTGGGGTTAATTCCATTAGTATATCTGTGATGAAATTAAAAAGAAATGGGGATAGTGAGCATCTCTGGCAGACACCACTAGTTGTCATCACTTCAAATGGCAACACTCCGTAGGCTCTTATCTGGCTGCACGAGTTCTATTAGAGCGCCTTGGTCAATGCGATGTATCTTCACGGACAAACATCGCCATAGTGCCTCTCAGTCGACGGAATCAAATGCCGCTTTCAGCTCGAGAAATATGACGATCGTCGGACGCCAGTAAGTTCGCCTATGTTCCAGAATCTGTCGAAGGGTGAAGATATGATCAATACACCCTCTTCCTGGTCTAAAGCCTTCCTGCTCCATAATGGATACGATTTTATTTTAATAAATCGTATCCATTATGGAGTTATACTCTATCACAGTGCCCAAGTTTTATACTTATATCAATAAAGCCTTCCTGGTTCTCTCGCATTTGTTCCTTCCGAGCACCGTTTAGTCTGGGCGTTATTATTGAGTCTAGAAATTTAGATAACATGTCGGTCAAGCTAATTCTTCTGTGACATGTGTTATATATGCCTAGGTCATCGCCTTCCTTCCACAACGACATAGGATCAGATTGGAAAAGAGCTAGTGGTGGTCAAACCAACACATGGCTACATCAGTCAATGAAATTCACTACAGTTAATCTAAGCCACGTCGGGAGGTGTAGACTGCTGTCTGGTTGGGGTCCTAGGGATGATAAAAACCAATGGCTGGAGACAATTGGTGATATGGCTAAAAATCACTGCCAATGGCTCAGATGCATCCATTCCTTGTTATTTATAGTATCCAATAAAACTATATTGTTCTTCCACATTACTATTCTTTTTCTCTCACTCAAACTTCCGTTTATTACCTCTCTTTTGAATCTCTCCTTACTCTCTTCTCTTGTTTTGTCTTTGTCGCTCCATCCTTCTCTATGGCTCTGAAACATGGCCAATACGAGTTGAAGACATGAAAAAGGTTGTCTGTTTTTGACCACAGATGTTTACGATCTCTTTCTCGCGTTAGCTGGTATAATAAGGTAAGTAATGTTGACGTTAGGCGTAGAGAGTTGGGCAAAGAGGGAAAATCAATCGAAGAGGCTATAAAATTACGTAGATTGAGATGGCTAGGTCACGTGCTGCGCATGCCTAACCATCGCCTCCCCCGACGGGCATTACTAGCTGAAATAGGTGCAGGTTGGAAAAGAGTAAGTGGGGGCCAAACAAAAACATGGCATCAATCCATGAAATCCCTGACAGTTAAACTGAGTCAGACTTCCGGGTTGAGGCCCTCGGGACTCTAAGAATCAATGGGTGGAGACAATAGGTGACATGGCTCAAAATCGTTGTCAATGGCGGAGATGTATTCAGTCTCTGTAATCTTTCATATTCCTTTCTACCATTACTCATTCTGTTTCACTCTCATACTTGTCAAAACTCTATTGATTCTCTTCACTCATTTTCTTGTCTACCTTTGTGTGCTATTTGGAACGTGACAACTCGAACTGCTGCACATTTGTGCAAAGTTCTACGTCGAAAGTATTCAGTCACTCAAATAGTGAGATATAATTCTGACTTTGTAGATGAAATCAAACCAAATTTGAAAATGTTACTCAAATATGTGGTGGATATCAATATTTTCACTTAACAAGAAGGTTGCTTTAAAATTTCATCATTTGTAAACGTGAATAAAGTAGATAGATGAATCAACCATTAGCTAGGAATATTAATTAATTCATCATTATTTTCGTAATATCCATTCTATTAAGATTAATACCAACCTTACCAGCTGATTTCACCACTACATTCCGAATGAAATAAGGTGAATACTGTGACATTCTATGCTAACATCGGAAGACTGCTGGTAGAAAAGAGAACCAAAGAAGGCACAGAAAGCGAATAATAGCTTATCTCTAGTAAAGAATGTTGATATTGTATTTACATGTGGTGAATTAAATGCAAATGAGAATCCACGAAATAAAACGAGCTCGTATTATCCTGCAGACATGTTCGTTCTTTCTCTCTTCAAACTAATAAAGGGAACCGGTTGCATAAATGCAACACGTTTAGTATTTCATTATTGCTGATTGTAATTTATTCTAATAAAAATTATATCTTTCCGTTTGTTTTCTACATAATATATCCTAACTTGGATTGAAATAGTGTTTAGAAATTAAATCTAGAAGAGCAACAAAATTAGATATAATATTAGTTCAGCGACATTATAACAAAATGATATAGTAGGCGAATGGCGAACTGGTACTCACTTTGCGTAAATTACTCTTTTGAAAGGACATGATTTCAGATTGAAGATCGACAGTCAAACCAACTACTGGTTTTGCGGCAGCTGTATTCGATGAATTATCTTTTCCAGATCCAGCAGGCGCAGATGATGATGGTGTTGGTGGGGGAGGAGGAGGAGCAGGTATAGAGCTAGAGAAAGCAGGTGGAGGTGGAGGAGGAGCAGGTATAGAGTTAGAGATAGCAGGTGGAGGTGGAGGAGGAGCAGGTATCTCATAGAGCGGAGGTGCCGGTAAAGTAGGCGGTGGTGGTGCAACTGGTTTCGGTGCTACCTGAGGAACAGGAGGTGGAGGTGGATGATGTATAGTTAATGGTGGGCCGGGTGCAACGGGAGCTGGTTGAGGCCGTCGAGCTCCAGGAGGCGGCGGGGGAGGTGGTGGTCTTGGAGGAGGTGCTGGAGCACTTGGCAGATTACGGCTGCCACCCTGAGAACTATTTATTTTCCGCTGTATCTATAAAGATAAAAAGATTAAAAATGATTTAGAACCGCATCGAGGTGCATGTACAGAAAATAGATTCATAGAAGCTATGTTGATTATATTGCTGCAAATTAATTAAGAAACTATTATTACTGATGATAATTCTATATCGAAAATCAAGCTAATCAAGAGGTAAGATGAAGATATGTTGCGATATACGGAATCGGACACGATAATTAACACGGTTTAGTTGAGAAAAAGCCGTAATTGTCTAGATATAAAAAAATTAACCCAAAACAGAGTTTAATTCCACATGTTTATTGAACAATCCTTTCAAATAGTTATGTTGCTCAAGCTTATTCAATGTGACCAATAGCAAGCACAAATCCCAAATATTCATATATTCTTCAGAAGCTGAAATTGAAATGAAGCTGACTGATAACCAGTTGGCTTAAACTAAAGGTGAATTCAGCACATCCAAACATGTTTTACTTCACTTGAACTAACTCCCTTTCTTCTATAGTTTGAAACTTGTTTTCTTCTTTTCCTGAAAACTCGAATTTCCTGTAGAAGTGGGCTGAAAACAGTAAATATCTTATGTTACTGACCACATTGCAAACCGTGTCGATAGGGCAAAAAATAACTATTTCATGTATGAGATGTATATATTATTAAGAGAGGGAGAACTCTCTTGAGATTAAATAAAACCCCTTTTTTGATAAACTTTAATAATCAGAAGTAAATATAGACTCAGTAAATCTTACCGCACGGTTATAACATCACAAGAACACATACACATAGTGTATATTAACTGTAGGGAATTTGTTTCTGAGAAATTACAACAGTGCACATTGAAACATCAGTTTCTCGATGCAATATAAGGGTGGTAAATATGTTCTACTTTCTTGAATTGTAGATGATAAGAGACAATAACAGAATCAAGAGAAATATTTACTGACAAGAAACAGAAATCAGACAGTATTTTAGCTATGACAGTTTCTGTCCACTGAAATTTAAACAAAGATTGGTCAAGTCACTGAGATGGTGAAAAAAACTTTGCTCTGTAGGTAGAGTGTATGCTGAGATTCTTGTTCTTGAAAAGGATTCGTTTTAAAATGTTTATCTAAGGTAGTTCATTAGCCAGGACCAAGCAAGACGTTGTGATAACGAAAACAATGTCACTGAAGTCGTAAAATGTCCGCCACTATCTAGCTATGATACATCAAAACGAATGAACGGACGAGAATATATAAGTTGTTCTTACTAAAAATTATCCGGGTGCCAAACTCATTCTTGTGTGCTGCATTAATTTTGCTCTCCGTCAATCGAAAGGAGACAGAAGTAACAAATATAACTTCAAAATTTACATATGCTTTTCAAAACATTATTTTGGTTGAACAGAAAAATGAACATCCATTCGGTTATTGGAAAATTCTTAAAAATTGATTAACACCCTAGGATTCTCAGATTTTTCCTACTATTCCATTCCATAATGGAATTACACTCTATCACAATGCACAAGTTTTATTCTTATAACAATTTTCCTACTATTATCTCATGATGATTTATCAACAAGTGATCCACGGTAGATACATCATATTTACTGACAGTTAAAGTGTTTTAAGTATACTCTGTTTAGCTTAAACAACTGCTACCAAAGGCCTACATATCAATTCATGCGGATGATTGCAGAAATCAATTCGACTGGGAAGATGTAAAAATCTAAGAAAGAGGAAACAGGAAGAATAATAGGGTACTCGTAGAATCTTGGTACTCAGTTCAATTTGTAATTAGTAAGCACGTGGACATACATCGTATATATCAATTAATGTAAGTCATACGATCAGAAGGTCAAATTTAAGATCAAAGAGGCTATCAACACCAAAGGTAAAAAAATCCCTAAAGAAAACAAACAAAAGAGCTGTCAAAATCATCGTAGAAGACAGTGGGTGACTAACTGAGTTTTCAACGTAAAACTGCACAAAAACGCAGCAATTCAAGTTGCCACACTCCATATACCAAATAAAAACGGAGGAAAAAATCCGAAATGAACGAAAATGTTTGATAGAAAGAATAAGTACATGGAGAATAATGAAAATCTAACAATGTTTACAAGTTCATAAAAAGTGAATGCATCCACATCATCAAGAACAGTTTTGATCCATATCACCAACAGTCTCCGAGGACTGGTTATTACCGTTTTGATGATTTCATTCCGGTGATCTACACCTTCTGACCGGAACAGGCTGGATTCAGGAGAAACAAGTCATGCATTGATCAGATCGCCACACCACGGATCATCATTGAACAGAACTTGGAATGGCAGTCACCTCTCTATCTCAACTTCATCGACTTTGAAAAGGCCTTCGACAGCGTCTACCGAGAGGTGATTTGGAAACTACTTCGCTACTATGGGGTGCCACTGACAATTATACATCTCATCCAACAGCTGTACGACAATGCTGCATGCCAAGTAATCCACAACGAGAAACTTACGGAATCCTTCGAAGTAAAGTCGGGAGTAAGAAAACGAAGGCTGCCTACTATCGACAGTGATTTTTCTGATTGTATCAGGTTGGATAATGCGACTGACAGTGGGGAATGAGGAAACAGACATGAAATTGACCCTAACGAAAAACTTGGAGGATCTGGACTTCGCCGATGATATATGTCTGATTTCCCACAAACTGGAAGATATGCAAGTGAAAAGCTACAAGTTGGCAGGAGAAGCATCAAAGATAGGCCTTCAGGTGAACATAGAGAAAACAGAGGTGATGAACATTCCTAGCCAACACCAACAGCAGCAACAACAACAGACAACAATAAGCATAAATGGGAGGAACCTGAAAGAAACAACCTCCTTTACCTACCTGGGAAGCATCGTTTCAACTACAGACGGAACTGACGAGGATATCAAAGCAAGGATTGGGAAAGCAAGGCAAGCTTTCATCACTTTCAAGTCTGTGTGGAGGTCAACAACACCCAGCATCAAAATAAGATCCGGATTTTCAACTCCAATGTGAAGTCAGTGCTACCTACTATACGGATCAGAGACTTGTCGCGTCATAAAGAGCATCTCAAACAAACTACAGACCTTCATTAACAGTTGTCTTCGCTCAATACTTAAGATCAGATGGCCAGAGAAGATCAGCAACAGGGATCTCTGGGAGCGAACCAACCAGGAACCGATTGTGAAACAAATAGGCAGGAAGAAATGGAGATGGATTGGTCATACTCTTAGGAAACCATCAAGTGACATCACTAGACAAGCCCTTGAATGGGACCCGAAAGGGAAGCGGCGAGTTGGTCGTCCATTGGTGACTTGGAGGAGGTCATGTGAAGAGAAGATGAAAACGTGTGGGCAGACATGGAGCCAGGTGAAGACTCTAGCAGAGAACAGAACGCAATGGAGACGCACGGCTGAAGCTCTATGTTCCTGTAGGAATTAAACGATACAATAATAATAATAATAATAATAATAATAATAATAATAATGATAATAATACACCTTCTGACTCAATTCAAACCAACAGTCAAGGACTTCACATGTTGATACCAGGTTTGATTTGACCACCCTTAATTTTTTTTATGCATGGAGGAATAAAAAAGCTCATTTCATTTTTTAAGTAAGTACTCCATATGTCAGACTTCAGAGTTTTATTCAACAGAAAAACTTCATGTTTTATATCACTAATCCCATGAATATTTTAGGCCTTTTGTAAGTGAAGAGCAGCCTCAAAATAAATAAAAATGGTCACATTCTGTGCTACACATCTTGGTATTCTTAATTTAAGGTAGACGACTTAGTTCAATTTCAGATGTTCCCGTCGATTGATTGGACCGAAATGCTCGGTCTCAAGCTGACATGTCGGTTCCTTGTGCAAACGCTTCAACGAAAGCTGGTCATGTAACCTGAGGTCAATTGGTGGATCGTGACTAGCAGTGGAATCCAAGGTGCGCATTTTGTCCTACTTGGGACTCATCAGTTGCATGTACCTGAGTGAGTGATGGGGTTCCCACCCAGGCTCAAACCCAGTGCCCATAGTTTCAAATGCTAAAGCGTTATCCGCTAGATCACTTGGGTCACGAGAGCCACCTCTTGTGCAACGGGTCTTATTGATTTCAGATTTCCCCGTCAACTATGTTCAAGCCTCGGTAGGAACACCGTCACTCACTGGGAATGCAAATACATCAAATTGACGAGTCCCAAGTGGGACGAAATGCGCATCCTGGATACCACTGCTAGTCACCATGCGCCAATTTACTTTACGATTTACTAGTTTAGTGCCTTCACAAACTGTAACGATCAGATCATTTAAAATTCTCTCAACCAAGGCACACAACAATTTAACGATTTGTAGAAATTTATTTGTATGGGATTTTCGTGGTAACATTAAGTTATTTAATATCTCTCCTCACATTTATTATAATTTTTCAGGAATTTTAGATACATAAAGCAAAAACAAAACCACACTTAAGTAACTTTTTCATTACAAACACCTAAATACCTTACAAATCAATCTGATGATCAGAAAAGTGGTCATCTTTGATAGATTAACAACATTATTTCTCAACCCTCTGTAGCTTCCGTTATATCTTAGAAATTAGGTTAATTCAAACAGTATACCTTTCTATCTTCACTCGTAAACACATACACACGTGCAGAAAACACAGAATGCTCCGCATCAAAATAATTAGACATACAGAAAAGCATACATGTAGTTGAGATTTTTTCTAAAGCGTCAGTAAAAACAATATCTGTCCGACATCGTAGTCATTATCTCATCAATATACGTATATATATATATATATATATATATTGTTATGACGAAAAATTAGTCATCTGTGTACACATCAAACTAGATCGTACAGTTTTTTTGGCAAACTAACACACTACAATAATAATCGATTAGACATAATAATGTAACACACGTACACACACACAGTTATTTTGTTACCAATTACAACAAGATCATTTGAACGTATATCTTAAAATCATAGTGATAGTTCACAATGTTTTACGATGATATTCA